CCAGGTGCCCCCTGAGCCTCTCTGATTGTCCCTGATTGAAGTTTGTGACCTGAAGCTGACCCTCCCTTATGCCCCAGTGGATTTCTCCCCATCCCTGGGGCTCAGCCTGAGTTTTGGGGTGAGTTTTGGGGTGAGTTTTGGGGTGAGTTTTGGGCTGTAAGCTCCTGCTTGGCAGCCGTCAGTCCCCGCCTGTGCCTGGGGACAGTGTCCTGGGGCTGTGGCAGGTCCTGCCCTGCCAGGCAGGTGGGTTTGGGAGGCCTGAGGAGCTCCTTTGCCATGCTCAGCTGGCAGCAGAATGAAGAGATGGTGTCTGGTAAATGCAGGTACCTGCCCTGAATTCCAGGAGGAGGGAAAGTTGATTCTGAGCCAGGCAAGGGACGGGCAGAGGGGCACACACAGGAGCTGCCAGGCTCTGGTTCTCACAGGGCAGGGTTGGGAGCCCTCATCACCACCCACAGGGCAAGGCACGCTGTCACATTCCCTTATAAACTCAGGAGGCCTTGTAATTCAGGGCACACTTCATCCTCTCCTCCAGGGAGCTCCCAGCCTGGCACAACCAGAACTGCTGGGAGCAGAATTCCATGATGCTGACAGACAGAGATGCTCAGATGGGCTGTCCTGACCTGTAGGAGAACAAATGAATTAAAACTGAGTTTACTCTCTAGAGAGACGAAGTTATTTTCTGTTAAACACGTCATTAGGTATTTCCTGATCAAGGATTTGAGAGCATCTTCCTTTCCAGCCATTCCACGGGCTTGAAGAAATTATAATAAATAACATTTTCAAACCTCACTGCTGAACTTGAGGGCAAAGAACTTTGGTGTCTGTTTATTGAGGTGGTGTGTGGCTGGTATCCCAAATTCTCCCAACAAGCAAGGGGGCTGGCTCCTTTCAGAGATCCAAAGCTAATTAAAACAAAAGTGGGCGCTGAGCACCTTTGCAAACCAGATGTCTCAAACAGGCACTTGAGAAGCCCCACGAACCTGTAGGCTGCTTGAAATCCTGAAACCTTGGTTTTTCTCCTCTCTGCCTCATTTTCCTGCCTTTGTAAAACATTGCTAATAATACATCCTCATCTCGCCGAGGAGGTCACTGAGAATTCATTAGCTGGCATTTGTAAAGCACTTTGAAAATGCAAAGCCAGTGCATTATTCCTGCTCTTCTGGATGCTTTCCATGTTATTAAAATCAGGATTTCAGAAAGGCTTATCAGGGATCAAAACAGCATCCCAAACTTGAAAGGAAGCACGACTGTTAAACCATCAACTGTCGCCTCCCCCTCCAGCCAGATGTTAAGCCCCAAAGAACTGAAGTGGCACAAGGAATTACTTTCCCAAGTTCCCCCAGCTGGGCTGACAGGCCTTGATCAATGGTTTTCTCCACGGTGAGGGCTATGCAGATGGTGTGCCCAGAGCAAGGTTTCTGTGCAGCACAAAGGGAAGTCAAACACCATTTCTAATTCAGCTTGTAGCATGGCACACTTCCTTTATCCTCCTCTTGAATGCCCTGAATGGGAGAGCAGTGTGGGAAACTGGAGGGAACTCCACACTCACCGCGTCCCCCGGGCTGGGAGACACCCCTGTCCCCAAAGCACATCTGCCTGTGACAGCCAGGGGGGGAAAGGAGTGACAGATCGAAAAATCAGATTATGAAACCTGCACGGAGGGAAAGCAAACCCTGAGGAAGAGGGAAGAAGGGAAGGAAGATGTGCAGGTAGACGGAAATTGAACCAACCAAGGGGCAGGGAAGGGGTGGGAGGGAATGCAGGGGAAGGGCAAGGAGGAAAAGCAAGGAAGGGCAGGAAAGAAATGACATGGAAGGGAGCTGCAGAGCAGAATCTTGCCCATCCACCGCTCAGGCCAAAGGCAAATGTCCCACTGAAGGTGGCACAGGTTGTTTAGATCTGCTCTGAGGCTTCTGAGCAACATCCCCTGTTTGCTTCTTCAGCTGGGATATCCTGGGATTCCTACAGACCATGAGGGACCCACATGGAGCTGAGGGAGCTGGGCCTGGCTTTTAAGGAAATTATTAACCAGGTTTTATCCCAGCAATACTGGGGGGAAGCTCTTCTTTTCATTAATACTCCTAAACTACTCTGTGTTGCTTGGGTGAAAGAAATGGGAAACAACAGAGACGGGTCTGGTCTTGGTATTTGGCAGGAGAAAATTCAGCCTCTGATTTTGCCAGCTGGGTTTTTGATAAATCTGCTGTAGGTGTAGAGGTGATTTGTATTTACAAGTTTACAGAGATCAGGAGGCACAAAAGCTGCAGGGCAAAGCTTGGAGCCCAGATTCTCTGTTGGCCTCAGTGGGGATCCCGGCTTGGGATTGGCCCCATTTTATTTTCGGCTCCAGGAATGTAGGACTCATCACCAACTAAATATCCTGTATTTTGTCTTTCCCATTCCCGGTTCATCTCTGTCCCTGCTCCCAAGCCTTTCACCTCCCCATGCTTACCAACATAAGGCCGTGGAAGTTCGTGCACTCCAGAGTTTCCCACAGCATTCCCTCCCGTCACAAAGGAAGTGTGCCCGGCTACAAACCCCATTAGCAACGGGGCTTGGCTCTGCTTTGTGTGCAGTGGGAAACGCTGCTCCCAAAAGGCCATCTGGGCAGCACGGCCCACAGGAAGCACTGGGAGCATCTCGGAGAGACTTGGGAAAGCAGCAGCATCTTTAGGTCTTCCTCAAGGGATAACATCTGGCAGGGATGCTGGGGGAAGGCTAATTGCTGCTGCCGTATTTCAAACAGCCAGATAAAGTATTTTGGGATCCTGCTGAGTTTTCTGTGCAATACTGTGTGTGTTTGGAACCTCAGTAGGAGGTATGCAAGTCCAAATTAATTCTCACTGGTGCAAAGTCCATAGATTCTGCAAACTTTATAATAGGGAGGAATTTTTCTTATTGCTTTCTTTAGGATTTCCAACCAAAGCAGGACATCTATTTTAGGCAACTGAGCATCTAATTTGAGTAAGTCTTCCAAGATGGTCAATAATTGGCTAATTTTCCCCTCACAGATTGTGAAACAAAAGAAAATCTAAAAAATATATGTTTTTATTTCAGATGCTTTAAAATTTGTTTCTGTCACAGAGTGAGGGAGTAGGAGCCTCAGTGGATTTACCACCCAAGGGAGATTTTGCTACATTCACCTCCCAATAATCCATTGAATATCGTAATTTTTATTATCACATGCAATGTAAATATGTGGGGCCTCCAGCCTCCATAGTTAAAGGGAAGTTCTCCAGACCACAGAAGATTATTTCACATTCATCCTGCTCAGTTGCAGGCTCTGAGTCAGTTTGGGTCCAAAAGGAGAGGAAATTTTGAGCACTGGCCCCTTGACTGTGCCAATGCACAACCACTACCAAGAGCAAGGAGGGTAAGGTTGGCATGACTGTTCCCATGGAGTTAGTGTAGTAATTATGTGGGAATTGAGTGGAGAAGTAAGAGGAAAACAGCAATTGTCTGTAGCACAACTGCCAGTGGCCCTGCAGATGACGGGACTGGCACTTTTCTTCCTCATGTGCTCAATTAACGAGCTCAAGAAACGAGTTCCAGCCCCGCAGTTTCTGTGCCAGGGAATCTCCCCAAGAGGGACGTGCAGAGAGCAGGATTGGTTTCAGAGGTGGCATTACATGGGCTCACAGATAATCCACAGGCTTTGAGGAGAACATGTGAAACGGTGTCACAAAAGCGTTCCCACAACTTGACATAAAGGATGGGGAGCTCAACAGCTGCTGCTCTGGAGGGAGAGAGGGAGCCCATTCAGGGCAGCACAATGGGGCTGGAATGGCAGAGCCTGCAAGAGCTCCTTTAAACCTTACCTGAGCCTGCAGGGAGGAGCTGCAGAGGGAGGGAAATGTGCCCTGTGTGCTCTGTGTGTTCACTCTGACAGGCCTGAGTGACCACACGCGTGTTCACGTGCAGATGAACACAGGTACATTAGTGTAAACACAAGCAGCATTTCCTTACTGCAGAAGGAGCTTCCCAAACGTCAGCCCTGACATTACTTGACAGATGAATTACTGGCAGATCTGGTTCAAGTTTTCCAACAGGAATCCCTGGCTCTGTGTTTATCAGACACAAACAGTGACACTGTCAGCTCTTCCCACTGCAGACACCCCCTGAGCATCTCTGTGTGGAAACTGGCCCCGTGGAGAATGATGAGGAATCAGGAATTCGATTTCTCACAAGTTTGGTGGGGATATAAATTTCTTCTGCAGCCAATCTTCCTTAGTGCATAGGCTAAATGAAAATAATTGGAGTAAAATGTGTTTTGGGGAGGAAGTGAGAAGCAGCATGAGACTGAGCTGATCCTCAAGCATTCCAAGACCCTTCACCACATTATGTTTATCTTGCAGGTATTTGGAAACAGAAATATAAAGTGCTTGTAATGTGGCTTGAGAGTTTTCTAAAGGGCTGCATGAGGTACTGAGGGAAGAGAGCAAAGACCAAACCAGAAAATGTTTTCTGTAATTGCGTGTACTTAAAATTGAATGTATTTATTTGCAGTAAGCCAAAGCAGAAAAGCCATTTTCTGTTTCCCATGGGCAAAGTGGGTGCCTGAGTTACCTGTGGGAGAGCCATTCCTTTGACTCCCTGAGGAAATTGGGTGAGTGGATTTGAGGAATTTCTGCTCCTTCTCTCAGGAGCTACTCATGTGTGCATGTGCCGTATCCCTGCTCTGTGTGCCATATCCCTGCTCCGTGTGCCATATCCCTGCTCCATGTGCCACATCCCTGCTCCAGTGTGTGCCTTGGTGCATTCCCAGGAGCAGTGCAGCCTTCCCGCCATCAGCAGCTGACCTCCTCCTCCTCCTCCTCCTTCCTCCTGCCTGTGAACCCCAGGCCGCCCCTGGAATGCTATTGATCCATGGCATTAGTCAGCAGCCTTTCCCATTGAAGGCCAGCTCTTTCCCAGCTCCTGACACGTAACTCTGATCCCAGGCTTTCACGTAGCACACACTCCCCACCTGCTCATCTGGGAGAAGGTCATTATCCGCAGGCTATTCACTGCCACTGGAGCATGCAAGAATAGCTGCTTCTCCCATTGTGCTTCCCATCTCCCGGATTGGCTGCGGACTGTGGGAAACGCCACCGAGCCGCAGACCCACAGACTCGCCCTGAGCTTGGGCAGTATAAATACCAGGCAGAGGCAGCTTCCAGCAGCACGTTTCTCCTGGATTCCACTCCGAGAGCTCCCTTCCCTTCCCAGGACAGATGGCTCCCAGCACCGTTTTCTTGGAGCCCGACAACCTGCTGACACCAAAGGAGAAAAACAAAGTAAGTCCCGGCACAGCCCGGCAGCTCTTGGCTGCTCCCGGAGCATTGACACCAGCTGAGAACCTGCCCCACAGGGTTTAGGAGCAGGGATGGGCACCAAACAGCCCCGAGGGGTGACAGAGAGAGGATCCTTTAATAACAGGTGTCTTTTCCTTTGCTTTTTACAGCTGAGGAAGCCGGTGGTGGAGAAAATGCGCCGGGACCGGATTAACAGCAGCATCGAGCAGCTGAAACTGCTCCTGGAGAAGGAGTTCCAGAGGCACCAGCCCAACTCCAAGCTGGAGAAAGCTGATATCCTGGAGATGACTGTCAGCTATCTGAAGCAGCAGAGCCAGCTGCAGATGAAGAGTGAGTATTGAATTTTGTTTAATTCTCCATCTTACTGTAAATCTGTGACAGTTGTATTAATCCTGAGCCATGAACAACTGCTTTAAACTATTCTTTCTTCCCTCTCCCTCTTTTCTTCCCTTCTCTAGCTGCAGGATCCTTCCATAAAAGCTCCCAGTTTGATTTCAGAGAGGGCTATTCCAGGTGCTTGCAAGAAGCTTTCCACTTCCTCTCTCTCCATAAAGTCCGAACTGAAACCCAGACCAAACTTCTAAGCCATTTCCAGAAGAGCCAGTCGGCTGCTCCGGAGCTCTCCTGCTGCCCTGGGAACGCTGGCCCCCTGAAACAAGTGCCTGCAAAGGACACCTGCCCTCTCTGGAGGCCCTGGTAGTCGGGAAGTCCTCACTGCAGGGACCTGCGACAGTCCAGAGGAAGGATCTGACTGCATCTGATAGTCCAGCTCTGATCCTCTCTGCTGTAGGGAATTTTATTTCCCCCTGTATTTCATTTATGTGTGAGAGAATGCCATGCTTTTGACTCTTTTGGGATCCTTTGGCAAAAGTTGAGGTGTTCTGTTTGGTGTGGAAGCTGTGTAGGCACTGCTGCAGTGCTGCCCAGGCAGGGGCAACGTCTTCAGAATGAAGGAGGATGTTTGTAAATGTTACAGTTGTGATGGACAGCAATTGCTGTAGGAGATTTTCTCTAATATTCCCCTTAAGAGCCACCAGCTTTGCTCTGGCTTGATGAGTGACTCGGGTTGGCTCCGTCACTCCCAAGGAGAAATTTATTACCTTTAGTCCATGCACACTTGGTTAAAATCCATTTCCCACTGTTTGCTTATCAATTGTGCAGCATCAAAAACGGGTTTGGTTTTGGTTTGGATTTCTCCCCCAAGGCCCTTTTGTAGTTCTGTATATCCAGTGGGAGGGATGACCAGGAGTTAGGAATCTATGTGGAATATTTCTACTGTATGATGCTTTTTTCAATTTAGAAAAAGAGTGTGTTCCTGCTTTATGTTAAAGAAAAAGTGGTAGGTAACAGGCTTGATTTGTCAATGTTATACATTTTGGGTGTAAGCTATGCTTTTTTTAGCATTTTCATTATAATAATGATTTTTATCTGTATTGAGTAGTTGAATTCCTGGTGGATGGTGTTTCTCCCGGTGCTGGGACTGCCCTATGGCTGATGTGCATACTGTGTATGCGTCTCTGTGTGTGTAGAGAGCAATAAAATGCATTTGTGTGCAACCTGTGTGTGGTTCTGTCCCTCTGAGAGATGTGCAGCCGCTCGCACCCCTGGGGAAGGTTAACATCAGTCATCTGTAGAAATGGGATTTTTTGTGAAGCTCGAGGAACTCCCATTTGTGTCTACTCTCTATTCTCGTGACTCCCACCACGAGTTCCCCCTCAGCCCACGGAGTAAGAAGTGCTCCTGGCAGCCAGATTCCCTCAGCCGAATCCTGCTGAGCATTCCCCTGTCAGGGCCCCTCCTGCCACACAAACAAACCCCTGTCCTGAGCAGGGGGACCTTGCACCTGCCCGGCAGGTCTGCAGGCACCCACCTGAGCCCTCCTCCCTTCCACCCGAGCCCGTCACCAATGAGACCCCTAGGAGGGGGTTTGAGGGCTTGTTTGCCACGATTTGAGGGGCTCGTTTTGGGGTTTGAGGGACTGGTTTGCCGGGATTTGAGGGGTTTGTGGCACAACTTTTGGGGTTTGTTCCAAGTTTTAAGGGGTTTGTGTGCCAGGATTTGAGGGGTTTGCTCCAGGCTTGGAGGGCTGGGTTTGTTCGCCAGTTTTTGAGGTGTTTGTGACAGGTTTTCAGGGGTTGGTTTGCCACGCTTTGAGGGGTTCGTTACAGGTTTTGAGGGACTCTTTTGTCACAAATTGAGGTATTTTACTGACTTTCGGTCCAGCTCCAGCGGGAAGTGACACGACTGTCACGGGGGACGGGGCAGCGGCTTCTCCTCTTCCCGTCCCTTCATGCCGACCTTTCGCTTTCGATTTCTTCGGGCGCTCTGCGGGGACGGGCCCTGTCCCGCATGGGGCAGCGGCTGCGGGCTGCGGGGCCGCGGCGGTGGCGGCTGAGGGAGCGCGCCCGGAGCACCGTGAGCCTGGTGAGGGGGGCCGGGGACACCCGAGGGGACCGACCCGCGGGACGGCACCTGAGCCCGGGGGAGCCGCCCCGGACCGAGCGGCCGGCCCGGTTCTCGGGGGATAACGCGGTCCTCGGGGGATAACCCGGTCCTTGTGTTGCCCCGAGGTCCTCGCCGTGGTGCTGGTCACGCAGCTGGAGCGCTCGGATGCCATGGGCTGTGAGCTGGGCGAGTACCCCCAGGGCACCGAGTGCTGCCCCATGTGTGCTGCGGGTACGTACTGGCCTGCCCTGCCTGCCCTTCATGCTCTGCCTGCCCTGCCTGTGATTCCTGCCCTGCCTGCCCTTCCCACTCTGCCTGCCCTGCCTGCCCTCCCTGCTCACCACCTCGGCTTGGGGCGGCTCCCTCTGCCCCAGGGGCCATGGGGTGACCGATGCCAGTGGTCACCCAGGTTATCCTCTCCAACCAGCACTCAGCCCTCACCCAGTGCCGGGCCCTGTCCCTTCCTTGGGAGCCTCCAGAGTGGCCGTAACAATCAATAGTCTCTGCTGGGGTAGTAGGTAAAGTCACAGTTTCCAACGAGCTTCATTTCGTGCCCTGGTTTCTGTTTTAGGATTATGTCCTTGCTATTAGGATATTTCTGAGGCTCTTATAGTTGATTTGCAGTATTTAGGTGTGGTTGGGTACCAGTGCTGGTCCCTGACCATGTGAGCTTTGCTAACAGAGCTGCTTCTTTGGGGATGGTTTATGGTTTTCAGGATGGCGGGTTTTCAAGCACTGCACTGCCAATTCCAGCACAACGTGCATACCTTGTGTGGAGGGGACCTACACAGATCACCCCAATGGTTTAACATACTGCAGGACATGCAAACTGTGTGATGAAGGTAAGGAGGATGCTCAAGAACCAGTTCAAATGGATTTTTCATGCCTTTCCATGGATACATTCTCCCTTCTCCTTTCTTGCCTCATTTACTTGACAAATTAGTCAGTGTGAAGAACAGGCTCATGTCACTCTGCAGACATGGGACTGCTGTGAGCTGTGGGATGGAAGAGAAAAACTGACAGGGAGCTTCAGCTGGCACCACTGGAAGTTTGATCTGCAGCCTCTCTCT